GGGCGTGATGCGGGGCGCGCGCGGAGCGGGAGCCGGCGGGATGGCAGGAAGGAGAGGTATGTGCGCCGCCCGGCCGCGCTGGCCCGAGGGGGCTGAGTGTGCGGGGGTGTGGTTTAGCGCGTTCCCATCACATGTTGTGTGTGCCCGGACTGGAGGTAGAGTTATTCGCGTGTGTGTCTCATTGTGTTTCTCTATGTAGGTGTGAGTGTGTCTCTGGGTGTGTATTTTCCTGTGTCTCCTGTGGTGTGTGTGTCTGTCTGTCTGTTTTCACCCTCGCACCCATTTGATACTCACCCTGAGATGGGCCACCAGGCAGCCCATCAAGGGCCAGGCGAGGGCAGGGCCACAAGGCCGCTGTCCCTGGGGGCTGCCTCCTTTTTTGGCCGGCCTGGGCACTGGCCCTGTCACTCCTCAGTAATGCCGAGTCAGCCTCAGCGCCCAGAGCCAAATTCCAGGCCTCTGGTGGCAGAAGGTGGCCCAAGGCCCCTCAGCCAGTCTGGCCCCTCCCCCACCCTGGCCCAGACTGAGCAGGAGGTGAGCTAGTTTCTCCTCTCCCCAGTGGCCCAGGAGCGAGGCTCCCAGCTCCCATCCAGGGGACAGTTGGACAGCTGGGCTTTCTGGCTGCCTCCCCCAACAGCCCCCCCCCTTAGACACACCCCTTAACCAGCTCCTTCTCTGTCATTTGCCACTTTGACTGGTCTCTGGTGGGGCTTCCCAGCTCCGCCTGAGGGGCTATGGGCACTGTTGGACATAAGGAAGCAGGAGGCAGCTGAGGCCAGCATGGGGGGAGGACCCAGAAAACAGATGTTGGAATGTTTGTGGCTAAAGGCAGTCCTTGTCATAAGTCTTAGAGAAATTCTAGCTCTTTCTCCAGTGTGTGTGTGAGTGTGTGTGTGTGTGAGTGGGACTCTCAAAGGCCTCTTATTTCTGTCCTCACTCCACTGTCTTTGGAGCATGCCCTTCTCCCTCCACCCACTCAGGACTTCCCCTGCTTGGTCCTCTCCTTTTAGCCCCCTTCTCTGCCATCCTGAGCTCCCAGGCTTCTATAGCCCTGCCCTGTGGGACCTGTCCAGCCTGCTCACCTGCCTCTGTCCCCCGCCAGGCCTACTCCCAGGATGCCTACCTGAAGGGGAACGAGCCATATTCTGGAGAGGCCCGGAGCATCCCAGAGCCACCCCGCATCTGCTACCCTCGAAAGACCTATGCCCCGCCAGCCCGGGTCTCCACCTGGGCCACTATGGTGCCTGAGCCCATCTCAGCACTGCCTAGTGACCCCCGGAGTCCTGCTGCCTGGAGTGACCCAGGGACCCGCGTCCCATCTGCTGCCCGCATCCATTCGGACAACCCTTCTTTGGGGATGAGCCAGCCCCGCCCCAGCCCTGGTGCCTTCCCCCACCTTCCCTCAGAGCCCCGGACACCCCGTGCCTTCCCAGAGCCCGGCAGCCGGGTGCCCCCCAGCAGACTGGAGTGCCAGCAGGCTTTGTCACACTGGCTGTCGAACCAGGTACCCCGCAGAGCAGGGGAGAGACGGTGCCATGCCATGCCCCCTCGGGCCCGCAGTGCCTCCCAGGACCGGTTGGAGGACATGACTGCCCACCACCCGTGGCCCTGTTCCACCTCCCAGGGTGCCTTGAGCCAGTTGGGCCAAGAGGGCTGGCACCGAGCTCGCTCAGACGACTACCTGAGCCGGGCCACTCACTCAGCTGAAGCACTAGGGCCAGGGGCACTGGTGTCACCTCGCTTTGAGCGCTGTGGCTGGGCTTCGCAGAATCCATCTGCCCGCACTCCAGCCTGCCCACCCAGGGACCTGTCTGGACCCCAGGCTCCACCCCCGCCTGGTCTGCAGGGCCTGGATGACATGGGGTACATCGGGTACCGGAGCTACAGCCCATCATTCCAGCGCCGGACTGGCCTCCTGCATGCACTCTCCTTCCGGGACTCACCCTTTGGAGGACTGCCCACGTTCAACTTGGCCCAGTCCTCTGCACCGTTCCTACCAGAGGCCTCTGAACCACCCAGGGTTGTCCGGCCAGAACCCAGCACTCGGACCCTGGAGCCTCCTGCTGAGGATCGTCGAGATGAGGTGGTCCTGAGGCAGAAGCCTCCAACAGGCCGCAAGGCCCAGCTACCCCCTGCAAGACAGATGAACCGTGGGTTTGGTGATGAGTCCTCAGAGCCAGAGACCAGTGGGCGAGGGGAACACCTGGGCAGGAAGGTGGCTCCTTTGGCCACTGCAGAAGACTCTCTGGCTTCCATCCCCTTCATTGGTGAGTGATGGTGCAGGGGGCTGTTTTGGGAGACTTGGTTGTCTGTGCCCGGTTGTACTCCACCACCTATCACCAGGGGCAAAACTCTGAGTTTGGTGCTGATGGAACCAACCTGTTTCTTTGTCCATCCATCCATCCATCCATCCATCCATCCATCCATCCATCCATTTTTCCTTCCTCTCTCCTTCCTTTGTTCATTCATTTTTTTCTGCCTTCTTTCCATTCTTCCATCAGTCTTTCCTTTTACCCTACCTTCCATCCTTCTATCCTTCCTTTGTTTCTTTCACTCTTTGTTCTTTCCATCCATCCTCCAACCTTCCATCTATCCAGCAAGTATTTGTGTCAGGTACTGTGCTAGGCCCCATGCTCTCCTGGAGTGTGTGGTCCAACAGGGGGGATATATGATCAGACGAGCAATCCAGTGGGATGAGTGTGTGATGGGAATACAGGGAGCCCTAGGAGACAGAAGGGCCACGTAGCCTAGACTGGGGCATGGTGGCCAAGGAGAGAACCTTCAAGAAAGGAGATTTTGGCTAAGCTTAGAAGGACAAGGAGTTAGCTAGGGGAAGAATGTTCAGGGAGAGAGACTGGAAGATGCAAGGACCTTGAAATGATAGAGGCAGGATGTCCCTCCAGGTCATCAGAATGGGTCCAGAGGTGCCTTGGCAGACTCTGGGAGTCTGGACTTTATCCTGAGAGCAGAAAATTTGTTGCCTCTAGAACAGCTGTTGGATAGGGAAAGGCAAGAGAGTAGAGAGGCCGGGTGATTCCCAGGTTTCTTGCCTCCCTGAAGAGTGGTGCCTCACCTCCATTTGGGAATGAGAGGTGAAAAGCTTTAGGGCTTGCTGAATATGAGGCACTTGTGAGGGAGCAGGGTGGGCTGGGCTGGGTCTAGGAGCTTGAGAGAAAGACCAGATGCAAAGTCCTGGGACTGGGAGCCAGGAGCCGAGAAATGGAGCTGAGGGTGGTGAGTTCACTGTAGTGTAGCCGTGGGAGTGAAGGAGAGGAGACCCAGGCTTGCCCCCCGCCCCCCCGCCAGTCTTCAGTCTATGTAGGCAGACAAAGCCCTAGTAAGCTCCCAGTCTGAGGGGGAGGTAAATCTTTATTTTCAAAGTACTCCCAGTCTGACAGGGATACAGCCCCTGCCCTCAAGGAGCCCCCAACTAATGCAGGAGATGTTCTTTATCCTCAGGAAACCCCCAGTCTGGTTGGGGAGACACAGTCCCTGCCCTCAGGGGCCTGGTCTAAGAAGGGCAGCTCAGCTCCTTGCCTGGGTGCCCTTGGTGTGACGGGGAAGGCGGACTGAGCCTCCATGACTACAGTGTTGTTGGTGGACACCCTTGGTCCTAGGCATGTTGTCAGCAGGGCCCTGGAGACTTGAAGGGCCTTGGGGATGTGGTCTGGGCCCGGAGACAAGGCTGGGGGTGGGGGACAGGCAGGTTCAGCTTTCTGCCACCTTCACCATTCTCCACTCCCTCCATTCTTGCAGATGAGCCCACCAGCCCCAGCATTGACCTACAAGCCAAGCACGTCCCCGCCTCCGCTGTAGTCTCCAGTGCCATGAACTCGGCTCCTGTCCTGGGCACCAGCCCATCCTCCCCAACCTTCACTTTTGCCCTGGGCCGCCATTACTCCAAGGACTGCAGTGAGTGCTCCCCACACCCCATCCCCACCCTCCCCCTTGCTGCCTGGTCCCCACAGTCTCTGCTGGGCCTGCTACCTGGTGTCTGACCTCTTCTGACTGGCTCCAGCTCCTCCTGGCCCTGCCCACACAGGAAGCCCCCGACCTGCAGCCCCACTGACCGTGTGGCCCAATGGGGGCGGTTTTGCAGGCAGCATCAAGGCCGGCCGCCGCTCCTCCTACCTGCTGGCCATCACCACGGAGCGTTCCAAGTCCTGCGATGACGGGCTCAACACCTTCCGGGACGAGGGCAAGGTTCTTCGGTGAGGACAGGGGTGGGTCCGTCACAGCCAGCTGGACAGGGCTGTCACGGGGCTTCCAGCCCCGGGGTCCCCTACACACCAGGGCAGTGAGAAAGGCGTCTGAGCCTTGGGGCTTGAGGGGGGGCTGTGGTTCAGGCCCTCGCTGTGCTTCCCACATCCCTCAATCTTGGCCCTTGCTCCCCAGGCGCCTGCCAAACCGAGTACCCAGCTTGCGGATGCTTCGGAGCTTCTTTACCGACGGGGTGAGTGGCGTGTGCGTGCAGGCGAGGGTGCTGGAGTGCTGGCCAGGGCCTGGCATAGGGGCTGGGCCTATGGCCTCTGACATCGGAAATGGGCTCCTTCAGTTCCTGCTCTCTCCTTTCTCCCTGCACCCACTCACCCCCATGTCAGCCATGTGACCCACCCTCCTCTGTGGGCTCTGCCATCACTTCTTAAAGGCACCGTGCACCCTCCCAGCCAAGGCCTTTGCGCTTGTCGTTCCCCCATCTGGAATGTGCTTTCCACAGCCCCCTACACCGGCCATACGACTCACTTTTTTACTTTCTTCAGGTTTTTTTAGGCCTTCCATGAAATTTCAGCCTCCACCCCTGACACTTTATGCCTCCCTTCGCCACTTTGTCTTTCTCCTTAGCACTTTTCATGTTCTGTAATTATGTCCGTCTCCTTTCCTGCCTGTCTCCCAGCTGGAACATAAGCTCCACAAGAGCAGGGATTTTATTTGGTTGGTTTTCTGCTTGATCTCTATGGGTACTTACAACAGTGCCCGTACCGGGGAGGCACTTGGTGAGTATTTGAGTGGTGTCTTCAGGGGCCAGGGACACCAGAAAGTAGGAGGGGACACAAGGTTGAGAATGATGGAGAAGCTGAAGTTTCCAGCCTCAGGACCTGGGAAAACGTATGGTTGATTATGAAGTGGCCTTATCTCCTTGATTAGGGATGGACTGGAAGAGCCATCTTGATTTCAAACTCTCGATATCTTTGGTTCATTTAACACCTTGATGATATTGTCACCTGGTTTATTCTTATAACTTCCTCTGCTTAATTCTTCCTTGACATGTCATCTCTGTGGCTGGAGTCCTATTGACACTATCATTTCCTCTGTTTAACTCTTTGTGGACATGACTACCTGCTCCACTAACTCAGTCTTTATTGATGTTTCGACTTCCTCTGTTTATTTAACTCTGTGTTGACACAATTACTTCCCGTTTCCTTAATTTCTTCAAGTCTATAAAATTATGTGGGGCTTCAGATTGGCTTTTCTGGCATAGTGAGGCACGTGGTCTGCAGCTCAGAGCCTTTCCTCCTTTCTGGCTTCCCTAGTACATGTGTCTCATGACCTCAACCTAGAGATTCAGAGAGGCAAGCAAGGCCATGAGGCCACACAGCACAGCAGAGCATAGCACAGGCATATGCCAGGCCCTTGTTGCTGTGAGTGGTTCCGTGGGGTTCCTGAGGTGCTGGCACTGTGGGAGCCACCTTAAGTTGCCCTCTGTTTTCTTGCTGCAGTCCTTGGATAGCTGGGGCACTTCCGAAGATGCTGATGCTCCTTCTAAGCGACACTCAACCTCTGACCTCTCAGACACGACCTTCAGCGATATCAGGAGAGAAGGCTGGTTGTATTATAAGCAGGTCCTCACCAACAAGGGGAAGGTAAGATGGTTGGAGGAGTGAGGTGAAGGTGGATGGAGGCTGAATCCAGCAGAACTCTCCAGCTTCTCACCCCACAGCCTCTGGAGCCAGAGAACCGACTGAGGCTGTAGCAGGGGGGTAGAGGTTAGATGTTAGGAAAAAACTTGTTGGGGAATCTAAAGAACTCATGAAAAGAGGTTTGTCTGTGGGATGGATCTGATCAAGCTGTGCTTGGAATTCTGACAAAACCAGTCCACAGTGATCCTTGGCAGATCACCCCAAAAATGGCCACTAGAGCTCATGGAAAATGAGGGTGCAAGGCCAGGGTGATTCTCTTAGGGGGGCTTATGCCCCCCAAAGAAAGCAGAGGTCCACATTTTCAAGGCCAGCAAAAGTTTTAGTCTTTATCAAGGGCAACTGACAGCCCCTGGGGCCTCTTTCATGTGGCTTCCTGAGGAGTGAATTAGAGAGAGCCAAAGTAGAGGCAAGAAGATCAGTTCAGAGCTGCCACAGAGATCCAGGTGAGAGATCAAGGGGCTGGGGCCTAGAGTGGAGAGTGGGGGAAGAGGAGAAGGTGGGGCCCCTGGTCCATGGAGATTAAACCTCTGTTGCAGGCCAGCACCATAGCTGAGTGGAGGGAGGAGAGGCAGCCCCACTGCTGTCCCCCGAGCAGCCCAGGCAAAAATGAGTGGTGATCATAACCTGGGCTTGTCTCTTGACTGAAACATGAATTGCTGGGGAAGCTTAGGTGACTCACCTGCCTATGACTCAATTTCCTCATCTGTAAATGGAGCTAATAATAATCCCTAGCTCATATGCCTGTTGCTGAGGATTAAATGAGATGGATGTACCCAGTGCCTGGCATGGGGGAGCTGCTGTTCTGCTTATTGCTATTACTTGACTTTTCCACCCTGCCTTCTAGGGGTCTTGTACCTGGAAAGAAGATAGGCTTTGAAGTCAGACAGACTTGAAATTCCTGCCCAGCCACTCATCAAGCATAAGACTTTGGGCATGAGGTCTCTTAACTTCTGAGCCCCACTTTTCTGATCTGTAAGATGGGGGACAACACTGCTCTACTTCAAGCACTGAGGGTGAAGTCAGGTGTGTCATCCTGGCAGGGCTGGCTCATCTGTGCCCTCATCTAGTCTGTAGATGACTAAGGGCGTGGCCTGCCCTGATTCTCAGTTGAGGTTCTGGGATTTCATGGCCAGAGAGCCAGGCCAGTCTTTTCCTGCTGGGGTTCATGATGAGCAGAAATAGCTCAAGTTGTATAACACTTACTAGTGCTTGACGGTTGTGATGGGGGCGTCCAGGGCAATAGCGTACAGTAGGTTACCCTAGCCTCGGTGGAGTGGGTGAGACATGAAGGATGTGTGAGAATCCACCAAGCTAGGAGGGAAGAGAGTGGTCTGACAGGAGAGATGCCCTCCTGGATGATCTGGAGAAAGGTGGGGAGGGGGTTCTGGGTGGCTGGGAGCCAGGGTAAGAGGTGGAAGCCAAGGTCGGGAGTTGGGTGCCTGCACGAGAGGAGGGGGCTTGTCACTCAGGGCAAGCCTTTGCAGGGATTTAAATGGAGGGTGGGATATGTGTGAGCCTAGGAGGCAAGTGTTGCTTCTGTGACAGGAAGAGGCAAAGCCACTGCTCTGTCCAGGTGAGCGAGGGTGGGACCCTGACCAAGATGGTGGCATGGGGCTGAAGAAAGGGGACAATTTAGAGAGAGTCAAGGGGAATAAAAGCCTGAGCTTTTGCTGATGTCTGGGAGGTGAGGGAGGTAGAGGAGTCAATGCTGGTTTGTGGGGTCTCAGCTTGGGTTGTGGGGTAGTGGGTTGTGGGTGGTGGGACCCTCCCCTTAGCCACTGGCACTGGAGAGGCAGGTTTGGGGAAAAGAGGACAAGAGGTTCTTTTGAGGCCTTGTGGAATCCAAGGGTGGAGGTGTCCTGGGGACAGAGGCTCCAAGGGTGTGGCAGTCAGGATCGAGGCCCACCTGGGGAGGCATTGGTCCATCAGGGTGTGCATGGGCACCCAGCCAAGGGTGCAGGAGCACAGGGGGAAAGGGCAAGAGACATGCTGCACCTTGAAAGGAAGTGGGGGGGATGGTGGCTAAAGAAGAGAGCCAGCAAGGTGGCAGCAGACCAGGAAGGGTAGCAGGGGCCAGCTGTGTGGCTGAGGAAGGGGAGCCAGGTGTAGACAAACCATTCTAGCCCAACATTTGAGCCCCTTGGAGGGCCTTTGAGAGCTGCTGCTCCTGCCTCTCAGGTAGTCTGTCCCTAGCTCTAGGTGGCTCCTGGGAGCCCAGCCACAGTGTCTCCTGGGCAGGGAGAGGAACTGGCCCCTTCCTGCTCACTGATGGGTTCTGGATGATGGGCTTCCACTCCCACCTTGACCAGAACCCGATTTCACTCATCCTTTCGGTGCCATGGCCTGGGAGTTAGGAGAGGGGTCCTCAAGTCAGCTTCAGGCCCTTGGTCTGTTCAGGGTCCTGACTGCCAGCTAGATGTTGTCTTTTCCCACAAGTCCAGCCTCTCTGGAGTGCACCCCCATCTCCCAGTCTCTTTCAGAGACACTGACTATCAGGCAGAGGGAGTGGGTGTGACATGTTCATCCAGCCACAGACCCAGCACTTGAGCTGGATGCGACCTGGGAGACGAGCTAGTTCACCTCTTGTTTTAGCAACAGGGAACACTGATGCCAGGGGAGAGGGCTTGACTTGTCCAAGGTCACCTAGCTGGGTGAGTCTCAAAGAGGCAACCTTATTACCACCTCACTTTGACATTAAACTTCTCCTGGAGGGCCCTGCTGTCTCCTGCTTGGGCCCCCAGGTGAGTGACGGTAGGCAGGGCTCAGAGCCAGACAGTGACTGTGTTCTCCCACTTTGCTCTGAGGGCAGAGGCTTGTGCTGAGTGTGGAGTAATAGGAGGTCCACCAGCCAGAGGACAGGAGCTCTCAGCCTGAGATGGAACTCCTGCCCTCAGGGTGCCCCGAGGATGATTCACCCATTTTTCAGTAAATATTGATGAGCACTTCCTGTGCACCTATCGAGGCTCTAGGATGTGGGATGTGGACTGAGAGGACAGACAAGCTTTCTGCCTCAGGATCTTACCATATACAGGAGAAGTCCACAACCAGCATCACCTGAGAGTGCAGTAAGCCCCCAGGGAGAACAAACAGGCTATGCAATGGCCTTTAAGTCGGGAGAGGGGGTATAGTAAAAAAAAAAAAAAGGTCAGAGAAGGCCTCACTGAGGAGGGGATGTGGTGACATTTGAGCTCAGACCTGAAGGGTGAGAAGGAGGCCACCCCGTGAAGCGAGAGAGAGGGCTCCAGGCAGAAGGAACAGCAAGAACAGAGGCTTGAGAAAGGGTGGGCTTGGCTTGTTCACTGAAGAAAACCCTGTGGCTTTACACAGTGAGGAAGGAGGGAGAGGAGAAGGGTCTGGAGAGGGAGGGCCCAGATCACAAAGTCCTTAGGTTTGATCCCAAGGCAGTGGGAGCCAATGAGAGGGTGCTAAGCAGGGGAGACACATGATCTTGGTTACATTTTAAAACCGTGGCTGCAGCTGCTGGGAGGGGAATTGATTGTAGGAGGCGACTGGGCAGGTTTGTAGTGGGGACTGGGCAGGTTTGTGCAGTTGTCCAGGCAAGAGGTGTTGATGGCATGGACAAGGTGGTAGGAATGATGGAAACAGGTGATATTTGGGAAGCAGAAGTGATTTTCTGATGGGTTGACCGTCAAAGGTGAGGAAAAGGGAGGAGTCAAGGGCAACTTACAGGTTTCTGGGCAACTGGGTGGATTTGCTGAGCTAGAAAAGATGGGGGTGGCAGGGTGGAGAACAGGTTTGATGGTGAAGATCCAATGCTCCATACTGAGCATGCAGGTGGAGATGCTGCACAGGAGTGGGAGGTACAGGACGGGCTGGGGACACACTGGGAATCACCAGCGGCAGATGGATGACATCATGGGGAAGCATTCAGGGAGAGGGGAGCCCAGGACAGATTTCTGGAGCTCCCATCCTTTAAGGCAGGGTCCTAGCCTCAGTTCTGTTGACATTTGGGGCCAGATGATTCTGAGCATCGGGGGCTGTTTAGCAGCATCCTTGGCCTCTACCCACTAGATACCATAGCACTTCAGGTGTGACAACCAAAAATGTCCACAGACAAATGTCTCCTGGGGGTGATGCACCCCTGTTGAGAAAGACTGATGTAGAGGAGATGACCAGTGGAGGAGAGTGAGAAGGAGCCAATGGAATTAGGAGGAAAACCAGGGGCCGTGGGATCCCAGGTGCCAAGGATGGTTTGAAGAGGAAAGGCCATGGCCAAATGCTTCAGAGAGGCTGAGGAAAGGGCAGAGAAGGCCAAGAAGCTGCTACATTGCAGGCCTGGGTGACCTTGTAAGTGGCTTTCCTGGGAAGGGATGCCATGTGGAGTTTTGGTTTTGTTTTTTAATTCTTTTTTAAATCCTCACCCGAGTTTTCAGAGAGAGTGTGGGGGGAGACACCAATATGAGAGAGACACATCAATTGGTTGCCTCCCACAAGCCATGCTTTTGGTTGCAATTGAACCCAGGACCCTTCAGTCTGAGCACTGACATTCTAACCACTGAGCCAAACCAGCTAGGGCCTGTGTGGAGTTTTGAGTGAGAGGCAAAGAAGCGGGGAGAGCAAGTGTGGCTGACACTCTTGACCAGTTCTGCTGTGAAGGGGAGCGTATGTGGACTAGGAATGGCTTTATAAGGATTTTATGGAAGATGGCTCCTGCTGAGTGGGGCCCAGTTGCCCTCCCAGAGCCCGGCTGGTTCTCTGGGGCTTTGTCAACTCCAGATGAGTGTTGATGCTCGTCTTTAAGGATGCTAGTCTTTAAAGAGAAGGTTTCAGACTCTGGGGAGACAGACGATGAGTAGGGGTGTCCAGGTTGGTGAGGAGCTGAGAGAGTTGGAGGCTGCCCCAGGTTCCCACCAGAGTGAAGCAGGAGAGCTCCTGGCGGGCAGTGGGGTGTCCACTGTCTACAGCTTCTAGCCCGGTCCCTCCACCCCCACCTCCCGTGGCTCTGGGGCGGGAAGGCAGCCTGTCCTCTCACACCCTCCTCCTCCCATCTCTTCCCCCCTCCTTGTGTCTCCCTGCAGAAAGCGGGCGGCGGCCTGCGCCAGTGGAAGCGGGTGTATGCCGCGCTGCGGGCGCGCTCCCTCTTGCTGAGCAAGGAGCGGCGGGAGCCCGGGCCGGCGGCGGGGGCGGCGGCCGTCGCAGGTGAGGACGAGGCGGCGCCCGTCTGCATCGGCTCCTGCCTGGTGGACATCTCCTACAGCGAGACCAAGAGGAGGCACGTGTTCCGGCTGACCACCGCTGACTTCTGTGAATATCTCTTTCAGGCTGAGGACCGGGATGACATGCTGGGCTGGATCAGAGCGATCCGAGAGAACAGCAGGGCCGAGGGCGAGGTGAGGGCCTGGCCCAGCCCCCACCGGGCCAGAGAGGCCAGCACAGGCCCCAGGGCCACCTCTCACCTGCCGTGGACCTCCCTTCATCACTCTGAGCCTCAGTTCCCTCTTCCATAAAATGGGCAAACAACTGTACCCACCTAGGATTTGGTGTGAAGAGAACATGCACAGTGGCTCACAGAGCACCTGACGTCTTTAGTGTGCCATGACCGGCAGGGACAGTAACTGTAGGAATGATAGTAATTATTAATGTTATTAATTACTGTTACGATTGCAGGCTCTGGCACAGAGAGATCAGCTCCAGGCCAACCTCAGCTCCTTGCTGCAGGTTCGGGGGGGGCCGGGGGGGGGCG